CCGAATGACGACTTTGAAGACCCATGCCAAATTTCAATGTCAATAGTACTAATCCAAGTCCATAAAATGCCCACATCACAAGAACCACCACAGACGCAATTCTGAATTGACATTCTAATACCATTCCGAATCCAAGGAAGATCGCCCTAATATTTTGGGTGAGAATTTTTAGGTTCAAATGAGGTATGAGAGATTCATCGAAGTAAACCACCCGTGCTGCTAGTTCTTTTTCATCTTTCTCCCCCAATGAAAGATACGAGATATTCAACTGCAATGCCACAAATTGTGAAGACTGTGAAGATGCTTGTCAAGTTTCATCCATTATTGACAGTAGCCAATCTTATTTGTCAGGTAATACTCCTCCAAGATTGGATTGAAGAAGAGGTGAGCAATCAATGGAAAGCTCTCAAGTTGTATTGCCAATCAAAAATGAGATCTTTGTCGGATTCGATTACTGAGAAAATGGAGAATCTATCGAAAGCCCTCCAAATGCATCTCAACCATGAAACAGAGAAGGGTCAGCCAAAGATCAAACTGATAGGTAGACTTGCCTTGTTTTCTGCCTCATTTCTTCTATTGGATACAGAGGTAAGTTCAAAATATGATAAAAGAGGGGTTAAAACACAGTTATTGTTAGTTAGTGGACTTGAGCTGCTAACACTTTCGAAACTTTGGAGTCAACTGAAAATTCTCAAAAGGTGCGAATGTGCTATAAATTCAACATCAAACTTCACCTTCTTTATTCTAGCACTTGTTTTTGAAAAAATTTATGATAATTCCTTGAGGAGTCTTTGTTCCATGTTTTTCATCCTAGTTTACTTACTATGTCTACTAGTGGTATTACGACCACGAACAGACTTTGGATTGATTAGTTTCATCATTGGAGTCATTGGATCTATTGCTTATAACCACTTCAAGTTCAAATTTCCCACATGGATAATTGCCTCCATCTGTTTTGTGTTGTTCAATTTTAAGAGTTGGTTAGATAAGTATTGGTTGGATTTGAAAGAAGATCAATTGGTAACCTCTACAAATACCACAATTGGAAGCACCAGCATGTTTTTGATTTTGCAATCAACCACTGTACATATTGTAGGAATCATCTTTGCGTCTTCTGTTGTTAAATCTCCCTTGTCCAACTATAAAGTTTGGCTTACTAGGTTGATTGGTAGTGTGATTTGGAATGTTCGGCTCCATAAGTCCTATCCCAAAGATACCTCACTACCTTCTACAAATACCAAAGGAATCAATGGTTTGATTTTGACCATTATCAATGTTGCTCAAGGCATGTTTGTATTTTCTCTTAAAACATCTCCCATGTTGGATTATAAAGGCTGGTTATTTGTGGTAATTAGTTATGTGATTTTCTGTTTTTGGTTAAGAAGCTTTTGCCCCAATGATCTATCACTGCCCTTTACAAATATTAAAGGCATCAATGGTGTGATTTTGTTTTTGAAATCTATTGCCACATATGGTATTGTGGTGTTGGTTGGTTTGGAGCCATGCTTGTACTACAGACCGTGGTTGGTTATGGGAACCTGTTATGTGCTTTGGTGGGTTCGGTTACGTACATCCTTTCTCCAGTTTCTATTACTGTCCACCACAGTTGAATTTAAAGCTCTACAATGGTGGAATTTGGTGGTATATTACATGATTTTAGAGGTCACATCTTGGATGTTCCAACTATCTAAACGAAGGCGTTAACAAACAAGGATAAAATCTTACACGCTCAATAGTAAGTACTTGGATACATTGAAGTTTTTACATTAACTCCTGTCATTCTCTTTTTCAAGTATATGTTTATTAGATTAGTGAAGAATTGATGGAAGGGTGGTCTTCTTTTTAGTAGTGAGCCCTTGATAAGAGGCCACCCTTCCATTGATGATTTTAAAAGTGCAATCTAAGTACAGCAAATTGTAAAACAACATTCTAGTGCCCTTACTAAAACCTATCAATCATTTGTAATTTTTTAATCATTTGGGTGTATTCAATTTGAATTTATTGCAGCTAGCCTTTTGTTATATAGATATCAAACGTTGTCCCTTCATCTTATTCGTACATACTATGGATTATGTGTAAATTAACCCACATGTCTTGCATTATGATTGTGTAAGTTGTTTTGAAGGATTAGTCTCAGAGAAACTGTGTCTCCTTATGAAGAAGAGATCAAATTTAACTTGCTTTTGCTCTATTATGAAATTGGAATGACTGCATGACTTTATTATTTTTCTCAAACCCCATGAACAGGATGGATTTTATAATCTACAAGATTTATTAGTTGGTTGGTCAGCTGGTTTTACTTTCTTTTAATCATTCAAGCTTTGGTCTCCACATTTGTGGATCCTTGCAGTTTTGCTTTGATGAAACCCTTAATTGAAGACTAACAACAAAAATTTACATTGTTACCGCATCATCTTGTTTTTCATAATGGATTTTTGTTAAGAAGTATTTCAAAGGATGAGAGTGGATTAGGGGAGCAGGAGAAGAGCAGAATTAGAACATGAACATAACGTGGAAATATTCACCTAACCGTAGAGCAGAATATGTTATCCAACACAGTTTTTTCATTAATCTTTACGGTAGCAGAACCTACTACATAAATAGTTCTTCTCTTCACCTAACATTTGACTGCAATGTTATATACATCCATGAAATAAGAACAGCCATAACTTTACACCTGAAACTTTGACAAAACGTAAAAGTTTGCTGCCATTTCTTGCGGCTTTGACACCACAGCTCCAACAATTTTATTAATCTACGATTAATTAAGTTCTTGCTCATCATTGCCCTTCTAATTTCAGACCAACTTAATGTCATTTTACTGTGACATTGGTTCGTCAGGTTCTTGCAGATGCTGAATTGAGATGCATAGTAGCATTCCTTGTGAGAAATTTCAATTGAGTGATGGCAGATGGTGATGTCTAAACATTTGCAAGTTGATGGAGTCTTCGGTCTCTGGCTTTTTCTCTTTTCTTTCTGGTTTAGGAGCAATAAATTTCAGCAATACATTCTGATAAAAAATAAATAAATAAATAACAGTTTCATAAATGAACTCAACTCCTTTTCTTCTATTCTTGTGATGGAACAACACCAAATACCAAACATAACCATGTTAGGTGTACCCTTGACATGAATTTGACATTCGACTGGGTGTTGAAACTGTTAAATTTCAAGCTATAGTTGTTTATTGATTTCGAGCATGGAATTGTTGCAGAAGATACAAAAAACCACGAGAAATTCGAGGATATATATGTGTGTCCTAGCCTCTTTTGCATGGTAGGATATGCAGTGCCTTTATATGTGTTAGGCTCAAGATCCTCCCCAATGAATTTACGTAATAAGTTGAGAAGAGAAGACATTAATGCCGTTTTTCTGTATTTCTAAAAAGCATCCCGTACGTTGAGAGCATATACAAGCAAGAATAAAAATGAAGATCAGAAAGAAGAATAAGATCATTAAAACGGTTGGGTAAAAGCACGGTATAATTCACCAAAAGACGAAAAAAAAAAAGACAAAAGAAGCAAGATAAAATTTTTAAGGTTAAATGTGAATTTTGATTCTCAAATTTAAGATTTTACACATTTTTCATCATTTAACTTTTTAATATAATTTTTTTTAACTATGAAAAATATATTTTTTATTTTTTTATCAATTAATTCATTAAATTTGTTTATATATTTTTTTAATTTTTTAACTTATAATAGATGCATTTTTTTATCCTTTAATTTAAAAATTTAGAAATTAAAAATATATAAAAACAAATTTAATAGATTAATTGATAAAAATATTTAAAATATATATTTTTTATAATTGAGAACAAAAAATGTGTATGAAAACTTGAAAAGTTAAGGCATAAAAAAAATGTATAAAATCTTAAAGTTGAGGATCTAAATGAAGGGCCTGTAAAGTTAAAGGCACAACAACAACGAAGTTTTAATGAATAAAAAGGGGAAACAAAGGACCCTATAATAAGAGAACAAATTGATCAGCAACTGTTGCAAACTGTAAACATACTTCATTCCTCAGCTTAATTGACTTTACCGGGCAAATAGACGACTGGAGCCCATCCTTCAAATTTTTCTCAAAATGAAAGAATTGCAGTTGTCGGATCTCATTCTCTTTCCTTCTTCTGCACTGTTCATCTCTCGCCTTTCTGTTACTCCTCGCTCCCCAAATCGCGGCAGTCCTCTGAAACTGAAAGCGTAGGGTGAGTTCGGCCGCGTTTTTGTGTTTGGGCTCAACGTGGTGTCAAAATTTTTGGGCCGAGCTTAGTCGCAACGGCTAACTTCTTGGAGAGGACCTTGGCATGGCGTTCCGATAAATCTGGATCTGAGTGCCCAAATTAAAAGGCCCAGAGGTAGACCGCTAGCGTGATTTTCTTAGGAGGTGTTTGGTTGGAGACTTTTTTTTCTTAAATATATTTTTAATTTTTCTATAAAAT